CTTTGCCCTTCAGGCTCCGCCCCTCACCTGGGCAGTCCAGCGGGAGGTCGCAAACTGTGGAGTAGCATCCTCGGCAGCGGAAACGCCGAGAGACCTCCTGGAGGCCTGTGGGCGGGAACGCCGGGTCTCGGCTCCACTTGCCTTCCCAACCCCGGGCTCCTTGGGCAATTTGAGGTCTAGTAAGCCTACCTAAGTTCACCGGCCAGAGCCCGGGCCCCGCCTTCCCTGCGCTCATTGGCTGACACGCACCTCTCCGGTCTCTAGGACTCCTATTGGTTTGCGTAGACTTTCGGACCCGCCCTTTATGAGGTGTGTGAGCAATACCTGGTTGACTTATTTTTCTCCAGGGCTCTAATTGGCCTCCTTCGGATCTGAGACCCACCCCTGCCCTTCCACGCGAAGCCCCAGGTTTCGGCCCCGACCGCCTCCCTTTCCCCTGCAATTCTGAGCTCCGAAGGGAGTGCTTACCGCAGGGAGGGATGCAGGCCTGGACTGCAGAGAGAAAGGAAGCGTTACTGCCCGGGAAGTCGCGGGAGGTGCCCACCCTGAAGCTCCCCTAGAGGATGCGTTACTGGGCCGGATGCATTCCTCGGAGGCGGAGCCAGGCCTGCCTAGGGAGAGGAGCCAGGCCTGCTGTGTTCCACCTGGGGACCCGGCCAAGCCTGCAGCATTCCACCAAGCGGTCAGGCACGGGCTTGCTGCTGGCCATCTAAGGGAGGCAGGCCTGTGGCATGCACCAAGGAGGCGGGGCGGGGCTAGATGCTGGGCGCTCCTCAGGGACCAGTTAGAGAAGAGGCGAGGCCAGACTAGAAGGAGCCTGCTTTCACGGAGTGCACAGGGCCAGACCCCGAGATCCAGGAAGAGGCCCGGGCTAATCTGAGACAGGACCGCCCCAAGAAGGGGTCCTAGCTGGGGAGGAAACCTTCTTTCGAAGGGGCGGGGCCGGAACCCAAGCGGTCCACGCAGAAGGGCCCGTGTCCCGCGCGTGCCCCTCTCCCCAAGCGGCTCACAGATCCGCCACTGGATGGACTGAAGGGAGCGGCCGGCGGTCTCGGGAGTGGGGTTTTCTAACCGTGTCTGTGCCTGGGGGAAGGAGATGGGGTCTATTTTACCTTCTTTAAGCTGCATAATGACTTTCCGCATTTTCTCCGCCGCGTCGGGGAAGGCAACCTCAAAGGACCCTGGAGGGCGGAGGGAGGCCTTGTCGTAAAAACCCTTCATCTTTGGCCGGGCGGGATCGACTGGGCTTGTTGCCATGGTCGCTGTGCCCCTTCCCAGCCCCTCTCCAGCCCTCCCTCTCGGACACACACGGTCCCTTCTTTTTATCTTCTCCTACTCTTGTCTACCAGGAAGGCTGACAAGTCCCCAAGTCCTCTTCCTTCTGCTGCCTGACCATCTCCCTAGATCGTCTGCGTTTATCTTGTTGAAGGTGAAGGGGAGGATGAAGACCGGATTCCTCAGCAAGGTCTCCTAGGCCTTACACGGTCCAGCCTAGCCTCCTCCCCCTCTCTGTTCCATTCTTATTGCCCACCTTTTACTTCCCCTAATAGGAAAAGCGCATGCTCTAGCACCTCAGGGCCTTTGCACAGGCTGGCTTCCCTGTCTCTCCCTCTACTCCTGCTCATCCTTCATGTCATACCTTACACAGGCAGTGATGAATCTCATCAGAGTCACAAAGGGGTTCGAGGGTTAATGTCATACCTCATCATCCACTTGGAGATCTTCCTTGACCACAAGTCTGAGTCCCTGATTTTTGTCTCTTATAGTTCCCCATTCGCTACATTCATAGCTCTCACCAGTTTGCAATTACATATTTTTATATGTAGGGTGATAAGTCTGTCTCTTAAGTAAACGCATCCTTCTTTAGTGCTGTGTCCCCAGAACCCAGGAGAGGGTCCCGAGTCCTAGCAAGTGCTCAGTAAGTATGCGTAGAATTCCAGTATCCAGCTGGGAATGGAGACCTCAACTGTGGCCTGTGGCCCAAACTCATCCCTTGGATGTGTCATATTTATAGTCTGGAAAGTGTTAAAAAAAAAAAAAATGAACCAGTTGCCATCACAAAATTTGGAAAAGTCCCATAAAATGTTTGGCATCCGTTTTAAAAAAATTCGGAGGAGCCGAAACACGGACATGGAATTTCATGAGGCCGCAATGAACTGGATGGAGCTTAGGAGCAGCCTTCAGACAGGGGACACACCCGTCACCTCTTCATAGTCCCCACCTCGATTCATTTCTACTCTTTCACTTTCCTGTCCTGTGCCCTTACGGGTGTTGGAATCTTAACCACTTTAATAACCTCTAAACTGTCAGGTTTTCTGACTTTTTCCAAAACGGATGGCTGGATTGAGTGATGAAGGTCGTTCTGGAAATCAGAAATGTGGCAGGCTGTTCTAGGCTGAACCGTGTTCCTTCCAATTTCCTATGTTGAAGTCCTAACCCCTAGCACCTCAGGATGCGACTGTTGTTGGACACAGTCTTAAAGAGCTAATGAAGTTACCGTGAGGTCATTGAGGTGGCCTTAAGCCGGTATGACTCGTGTCCTCATTAGAGGAGGAAATCTGGACGCACGCAGAGAGGAGAGCACGTGAACACACAGGGAGAGAGAGGCTGGTCACCTCCAACCAAGGACAGCGGCCTCGGAAGAGACCAGTCCTGCCCACAATGACGCCTCATCTCGGTCTCCCAGCCTCCGGAATTAGGGAAATATAATTCAGGGTGCCTCGTTTCAGCCACCCAGTCTGTGGCACTTACAGCAGCCCCAGTGAACTAATACACACAGATTGCCAGTCACTTCCAAATAGCTGTTTACTAACAGATCACTACATTTCCCAGCCTTCCTTGCAACTAGCTCGGATCATGTGGCCTAGTTGTGGTCATGGGACCAAGTGTTGGCTATTGAGATACAGGTAGAGGTATCATGTAGAGGGGGTCACAGGAAGTAGCCTGAAAGAGAAGCGGTGTCATCTTGTCCATTCCTTCCCCCTCCTCCATCCTGCTGGGATCTGCTGGAGCTCGAGCAGGCCCGTAGGACGAGGACGGCAGAGCAGAAAGCTGGAAGGAGCTTGGGTCTCCAAGAAAATGGAGCCGCCATACTAGCCTTAAGTGCCTATCTCAGGCCTTAGTTTTTATGGGAGAAATAAACTTCTAGCGGGTTCTGTTGCGATTCAGAATCATACAAAAAGGGAGGGAACGGAGGGTACTGGCCAGAGGGGCTCAAACGACTACCAGGTCGAAGCTGGAGAGAGGGCGCTGCAGCCGGGAACTGGGTTCCAAATGAGGAGTCAAGGACTCATCGGTCTCTTCTTGGCCACAGAGCAGGCATGCGGTCTGGAGATGGCCAGATGATCGGGAGGATGTGGTCAGAATGGGGTGCTCAAATAAGAGGCCAGGACGTTGGAGGAGTCATACAAGAAATATCTAGGGGCCAGACCAAGTGATTCATGGGGCGGGTGAACATGGGATATACCAAGTGAGCTGTGGGGGGTGTGAGAGGAAAGGGGGGGGATGGAGTGAAATGTCCAGTGAGGCCAAGGGGCGGGGGTTACATCAAGTGAATCCCAAGGGGGCGAAGGTCATTGTTGGGAAGTCTCCCCTAAAACGCTGCCTGTCCTTAGGCGTGTCGACTGCTTCCGACGCTCTGGGTTTCAGTCCTGGCTCTTCCATGTCGCTCACCTGAGATATTCCCCACGAGTCCTTCGCCCTATGTGACTTTGGTCAAGCGACTTAACCTTCCTGATCCTCAGTTCTCTTGCCCCTAAAACGGGGACAGTATCGGTGTCTACCTCACAGGGTGCGGGGGGACTTAATGCCATAAAACAGAAAAGCATCCCCACCTCCATCCCCAACTCTGTGCCAGGTACCACTTAGTGACTGCACGAGATAATGCCTGTGAGCGCTTAGCATGGTGCTGGAAGTATCAACCACGAAACTAGTATTACCATTCCCAAGTGCGAGACGGGGAAACGGAGGCATGGAGGTCAGGAAAGTGGCTCGACATCAAATAGTTAGATGCGAACCCAGACGGTCGGCTCGAGGCCCCCATGTAACCACTGATCTCTTCCCCACACGCCTCACTCCATGGTTTATGTACACAGACGGTATCACCTGCCACCATCGAGAGCCACTCTAAGTCAATACGTCCCTTTCTCGGGTCCTCCGTCTAAGGGAGACGCGGAAGTCAACCTTGTGAGACCTTGCTCCACAGACGTCTGGTCCAGAGATGTCCAGGGTCTGTCCTCCCTGTCCAGCATCCCATCTAGAAAACATAGCTATCAAACGCCACCTCACAGGGCCTGTATGAGGGTATCCGTGTCCTTTTGGAGGATAATCAACGTCAATAACGCTCCATCTGGCCGGCAGGTGTACAGGGCAGCTTTGGCACATACTCAGATCCTTGATCTTCCATCTCCGTCCTCCTCATGGCCCCCCAATCCCCCTCAGCTCAGCCCTCACCGTGGACCACCGTGACCGGTCCGGCCACCACCTGCTTCTGCCCTTATTCCGCGTGGCCTTAGTCACATCTTCTTTCTCTGCCTCCTCAAAATCCTCCAATAGCTCCCCATCTCAAGAACAAAGGCCAAAGCTGGTCCAGGGCCTACGCAGGGATTCTCAGTGTGTGTTCTGGGAGCAGCGGCATCACCTGGAACTTGATAGGAATGGTTCTACGGATGCAGGCCATTCACTCCCTTGCTTCCTCCCTCCATGACTCCACTCTGCTGGCCCCAGGGCCTTGGCACTGGCTCTTCCTGCTGCCCGGAATGCTTTCCCCCCAGATTATCTGCATGGCTCTGTCACCTCGTCGGGTCTTTGCCCAATTGGACCTTGTCTTTTGCACCTCCCCTGACCAAACTGTTTAAAATGACCACCCCGTGGGCCCATTCTTCCTTCCCCTCGTTATCCTCCGGAGCACGGATGCCCGCTGCCCGGAATGCTGTCCCCCCAGATTATCTGCATGGCTCTCACTGTCACCTCGTCGGGTCTTCGCTCAGTTGGACCTTGTCTTTTGCACCTCCCCTGACCGAACTGTTTAAAGTGACCACCCCGTGGGCCCGTTCTTCCTTCCCCTCGTTATCCTCCGGAGCACGGATCGTGAACTGACATACTATTTCATTAGCTGTGTTTATGAGCAACCTATAAGCAACCTGAGGGCAGGAAGTCTGCAGGTTTGGTCACAGCTGTGTCCCTGGTGACGTTCCTGGCACATTCAATAAACATCTGTGGAATGTATTTATTGCACCAGCTTCTCCCGGCCTCCAGACCGTCCTCCACACGGCCCCAAGGGATCTCTCTACACCCAGCGCCGTCCCTGTCCTTGCCCTGCTCACAGCCCCGCTCCTTCGGGACGGAGCCTTAGATCTCCCTTACCTTTCGGGAGAACCCTGGACCCGAGTGCCCAGCTGCGTCCTGGATCTGTCCAGAGCCGCTCAGTCACGACGCCTCCGTGCCCGGCTCACCATCTACCTGCCCCTACCGCTTCTTCTCCCTGGCCCCCCATCTCAGGGGTGCCCTACCATCCACCGAGGCGCAGAGCCAGACCCTGGCACTGTCCCCTGACCCTCCTCTTCCTCTCTTCCTGGCCGGCCCATCGGAGCCAAGGCGCATTCCTCTCGCCCTTGGCTCGGCCCTGGACCCTCGCCTCTACCTTCACGGCCCCTGTGCCAACTCGGGCCTCCAGCCTCCGTTCTCACTCTGCTCCAGGCGGGGCCACGCACAGCCCCCAAGGAGTCTCGCTCCCCTCTTTTCAAAACATTCTGGGAGGAGACATTCTACATGGGGAGAAAGGGCGTCTCCTGGGGTCTTGTGCTTCCCCCCACCCCCGCCGGCCAGCTCTGAGGTCTTCGGGTCTCCCTGTGGGTGGGGGATGCACAGCTGGAGTCTTCTCCACGCTGGACCCGAGACCCCCTGGATCGATGAGAACTCCCCACCTTTGGGGGTCTTTGTCAAAATGCTGGGTGGGCAAGAGCAGGAAACAGAAGTAGTGGCAGATGTAGAAACAGGCCCTGAGCCCCTGCACCCCCAAAGTGGCCGGTTTATGCTGCACGACAGAGCCTGGGCGCCCTCACTCCGGTCCCCGACACTTCGAGTCTCTGGCATAAAGAATGTATGTTTTGGGCCAGAGGAATATCTCCTCCCTGAAGTCTGTCTCGTCAGGGGCCCGTCTCTCTCCCTGAGCTCCGAGGCCATCTGGGAGGCCAGGAGACCGTCCTACCTTCCAGGTAGGTAAGCTGAGGCCCAGGAGGAAGCAGCAACACGTCCAGAACCTCACAGCCAGGAATAAGGCGAGCCGCACGGCGAGGTCAGGACACATGTCAACCTGACCCCGACCGGGCTTCAGACTCCCTGTCCCTCCCGCCAGCACCTCCCTGACAAGGAGCTGGCTGCCCACGACCACCGCCTCCCAGGTCACTGTCGCACCCCCAGGCCCTCCGTGTACACGCACCATCTCTCGCGGGCTCCGAGCCCACGTCTCCCACTACCGCCGTCACCACCCCACTCACCTTGGGCGGTGGCCAGTTCCTGGAGGGACTGGGTCATCTGCGTGAAGGAATCGTGCAGGTGGCTTCTCTCGTCATAGTCTGGGGGCGGGGCGGGGGCTTGGGGGAAGCAGCTCGCCCCAATGCCGTGGCCCCTGTGTGGACGTTCTCTGTCTCTCTAAGACACCGTCTGTAGCTCCGAGTCACCGTGTCCCCCGTCTCCATCCTCCTGTCTCTGCGCACCCCCGCCCCTGCCCCCACCATCTCCTCTGGGTCTCTGCTCCCCCATCCGCGTCTCCCTCAGTCTGGGTGTCTCCAGGCCTCTCTGGTCCCTCCCTCTGCATACCCCACCCAGCACCCCGGAGGACGGTGGTGCGATCTCCTCACTGATTTCTGCGTCCAGGAGACCCCCGAAGGCGGCCGTGAAGGCGGCCTCGCACTTCTCCAGCTCCGGGCCCTCCATGCCAGCGAAGGTCTGGCAGATGCGGAGGCGCTCGGTGTAGGATGTGAAGCAGAGGAGACAGGCCCCGGCCGGGGTCCCGGACACGGTGAGCACCACGAGGGCGCACAGCACGGCGCTCACTGCAGCCGGCAAGGCCATCGCAGAGGATCTCGGGCTGGCGAGAAGCTGGCGACCTTTGTGAGGTCACCGTGGGATGGGGGAGGGGCTTTTGCTATGAGGTCAGAGGTCAGATTTCAGTTGCCAGTCAAACGCCAGGCTTGGGAGTTCTAGACGGGAAGGATGTGAGGCGTCGGGGGGGTCGGGCCAGCAATCTCCAGGCTGGTGGTCGGGCCGGACGCCAGGCTCCCAAGAACCTCACCTGTGACCCTGGACGTCCTCACAGGTTAAAGGGTCTCAGGGACCCAGAGGCCGGCAGTGTGGTGCGCGGGGTCCCGACAGGCCCTGGGGCGGGGCGACGGGGTGGGTCAGAGATGGAGACGCCCAGAGACACCAGAAGGCGCCACAGAGAGAGGTGGAGAAGGGGTCTGTGAGGCCACCGTGAAGGGACACACGGGAAACTCCAGACACAGCGCAGATGGAGAGACAAGAAAGAAAGCAAGAGATTTCCTGACTGGAGAGAAACCGTCTGAGGGAAGGGGCGGAGGGAACGCCAGCAAGGGCAGGGGACACGGCCCAGCTCCTCTTCCCCGGGGTCGGGGGCGCGGGCGGGGGCTGGGGTCCCCGCCCGGTGGGCGTCCCGCGCAGGGCGCAGCCTGGGGAAAGCTAGGAGGCCGTATAGTGATCTCCGTGGGTGTCCTCCTCAACTATACAACCTCCTACCTCAGCCCGGGGGGCGCGGCAGGCGGACAGACAGACGGATGGACAGACACTCAGGGGCCGGGAGGGCCGGGGAGGCCCCCGCTGCGATGGTGAGCCCCCGACACGGACCCACAGACACGAGCTTGTGTGCGGCGAAGGCCCCGCAAGGTCGGTTCTACGGGTGGGTGCCAGGACCCAGGAATCCTCCTCCGGCCCTCCTCCCCACGGAGCCCAGGAGTCAGTCCCTTGGCCCCATCCTCACGAGGGGACCCAGGAGTCCAGGCCCCCGGCCCCCTGCTCCCTCAGCCCCGGGGAGTCCAGGCAGGCCTGTCTGCCAGGGGAAGGCACAGCCTGGCTTGCCGTACGCCGGGTCAGAGCGAACCTCACCTGTTTTGGAGTTTGGCCTTTTGGGCAAGACAAGACGGCTCCCTGCCACCTGTCAGACTCAGGAATCCAGGGTCAGGCTGAGGCGGGCTAGGGGGACAGGAAACCTTCACAGCCTCTTTGGGCCGCTTCCCCCCGTCTCGTCCTTCTTTCGGCCTCTCGTCATTTATAACGATGACAGCTCTGCAGCCTGAGCTCCAGCACTGCCCCAGGCCCCTGCCGTCTCACAGGCCAGCGATCCAGGTGCCATCAGCATCCCCTTTGTGCAGGTGGGAAGGCCGAGCCCCGCAGAGGGGTGGGGACGTGGCCAAGGCAGCCAGCCAGAAAAAACCCAGCACCCACCCTCCCACCCCTAAGAGTGCTGCGGCTGGGGGCTGTCCCTCGGGCCAGGCCTCTGTCTCGCTCAGTGTCCGTCCAGGCCGGCCCGGCCCGGCCCGCTGCCTCGCACGCCCTCAGTCTCCCTCCGCGTCCGCGCCCTCCGCTCCCATCTCCTCCCGCATCTGTTTCTCCCTCCGCTCGGCCGCCTTCTCGGTGTGTCGCTCAGACGCCCGTTTTCCCTCGCTCCCTCTTCTCATTCTTTTTACCTCCTTTCTTCCTCCCTTTCTCCTCCTCCCTCCGTCTTTGTCCGTCTCATTCCCTCCCTCAGTTTCTCTGTCTCGCTGTCCTCTCCCCGTCTTTTGGGTCCCCCTCCCGCCCTCCCCCTTCGCTCCCTCTGCCTCTCTCCTTTCCTCTGCCTCTTTCTCCTTCCCTCCCTCCCTCCTAGGTCTCTCTCCTCCCTTCCCTTCCCTTCCCCCTTCTCTTCTCTCTCGCTGTCTCCCTCCCTTCTCTCTCTCTCTCCCTCCCTTCTCTCTCTCTTTCTCCTTCCTTCTCTCCCTCCCCCTCGCAGCTCCGAGCCAGGTCTGGAGCTGGGGGTGGGGTGGGGGTGGTTGGAGAAGGGGCCCAGGGCTGGGGTAGCGACCTGCTGAGGAGGGGGAGGAGAGGCGGGAAGGGGGCGGAGGAGGAAAGGGGGAGGCGGGGGGCCAGAGACGGGTGTGCGGTCCCCGCTCTCATCCCCCTTCCCTCCTTCCCAACCTCCCAGACCCTCAGGCGGGGGCGTGAGTCAGGCCAAGGTGGGGAGGAAGGGGAAGGGAGGAGGCTGCCCCCGCCCCCCCCAAACAACCTGGCCCGGAGCCCAGGCCTGGGTTCCCAGCATGCCCCGGGGCTGCCTGGGGCCTGAGGAGGGGGGTGAGGAGAGGGGACGCCGAGAATCTTAAAGATTTGCGGAGTCTGAGCATCTCCCCGCTCCCCCGACGAGATTCGCCTTGGGGAAACTGAGGCCCAGAGAGAAGACTCAGGACTTGTTCAAGGTCACCGGACGAGGCCTCGGTAGAGGCTCAACTCCCTGGGCCTATGGGCCGGATTTGGGGAAGTGGACGGGGCTAGCCTTCCCCCAGATCTGGGTCCCCCTCCCCCTCTCCGCAGACCCTGGGGAGCCCCCAAGGGTCAGAGAGCAGACCCAAACAGTCTGGCACCATGGCAACCAGCTGGCCCCGCCCCCTTAACCCCCGGAGGGCTGGACTCCAGCTGGGGCCGAAGTGGAGGTGGGGACGCCTGGGTTCGGGTAGAAAGGGGCTGGAGGCCCGAACCCCGGGGTTCCGGGGAGGTCGGGGGTGGGAGT